CATACCTAGGCATGGGAATGTTGCAATGGTGACCGGCAAGATGAACAGGCAACGCTGTTACCGGGTGTCAGCAGCGGCCAGCTGCGCAGACGACAGATGGACAAAAGACAAACAAAGACTGAAGGCGAGGAACAAGAAAAAAAAACGGGAGAAAAGTGACGAGACCCACTGATGAAAAAATGCGTGGGCAACGGAGTAGGGAACCGTCGTAGATCATTGTCGTCTGATCTGCCACTCTTCTGGACTATTTGGTATAGAAGTAGCTTTATGTCTTGAGTCACTGGCATTACTGTTATTAATTTCTATCTAGCACATGTGTTAAAAGGTGCAGAGGTTTTTTACGGATAGCGTTACTTGCGTACGTAAATGCCCTCGTCGTAGATGTTTGTTCAGCATGCTACTACATTTGATAGGCTATATATGTAGAAGTAGAAGAAGCATAAATAGTCTCACTAACTAATTAGTTATACTTTGAGACTGCGTGGTAAACTGGCCTAATTAAGGAAATGAGGAATTAATGCCCAGTGAGGCAAGAAAAAAAATAGCACTTGGTTCTTCGAAGGGGCAAAATGATTTAGGACATCATCAATGTCCATAGTAGTTTATACGAAACTATTAAAAGGTGGGTTATTGTATAAGAAGATATAAACAACAGTTTATATATATAATATTCGAACCTATAAAATGAAAAATAAAAAGCTCAAACTAATCATTAAATGTAATACAAGCATGACCTTTTAGATTAGTATTTATAATAGGATATATTACATTTGTAATAAGTAAAGAAGTACGATAAAATAACGCATCGACAACTAGCAGCTTGTCTTGGACAGCGTTTCCAGACAATTTGAACTATTTTTGTACTTGCGCTTAACTTATTGCTCTAGGAAGTTTTGGTTTGTCTACGTTGATTGTTAGTTTTGGATAGTTCACGACTTTTAAAAAATAGTTTTTCTATTTTACCGTCAAACTAACTGGTATGATACTATGTTCGATATTCTTTGCTGCCCATAATACTCAGACACAAATAGCCTATAAGTATATACATATGTATATATATATATATATATATATATATATATATATATATATAGTCTAGAGTAGATATCTAGTCTAAAGCGATTTAGGCGAAATTAAGTCCCGATCACAGATAGCCTTTCCCGTAATTTGTCGATATATAAGCATCTTTTCGAGGGCTGTGTCCGGCACTTGGTACGCGTACGGCTAACACCAGATCGTTACAACAAACTCACTAAGACAAAGCCACACAAGATCTAATCATTGGAGCAGAAGGGTCGTTTCTAAAATTCGAACGAATGGTTGTTATCAGTGTTTTAGTAACCAAACTTGGCTACCAACACGCAAGGAGTGCCGAGTAGCTGAAATCAACGGTTTCCTCAAAGACTAAAACACTTTTGCGCGCTCTGTTCTATCAACGAATTTTAAGCTTGACGCACCTACCTGCTTTTGGTTTTTTCCCGAGACTAAGATCTTCATTGCTTCAAATACTGGATATGGATAAAAACAAGGAATGATCCTAAATTCACTGGACAAATGGAAGACAATTTTTAGAGAGTCAGTCTAAATATGTAGAAGTAGTAGAACATAGACAAATATTTAGCAAAGAGTGGGTTTAATTCGGCAACAAGTGTCTAACAAAGGCATCCTAACACCATTTCCACATTTCCTGTAATAGTATGTAATAATGGTATAGCGCTGGTATGTGGCAACGGCAATGGTTACTGTGCGACCTCAAACGGTTTTGTCGACTAATATTAGTATAGTATGTAACATGCTCAGAGGGTACTGCTATTGGAAATATATTACATGCTTAAATTTACAATAGTTTACGTTTCTTCTACCGCCTTAGCGGACGTAAATTGTAGGTTCATCGACTGTCCACATACCTATAGGTCAGCTTGTACATGCAAACATATCTAGAAACGGTAACGGTGACTCGTAATCAATGTCACTTATTATAGTTAAAAACAAAATCATTTCTAACGAGGGGCTTAAAAAGGCATTGATAATCATTATGGTGTTTTAAAAAATATCATTAAACAGATCGACGATATTTTGCCATTGTTTCGTCACTACATTGTGATAAATGCATTTTTGCATCCCTCCATGGAGGGTAAATTAGCATCACTAGGAGAATTCTGCAAGGATCAAAGCACATGGCACTCTCATGATGCTTCAGGCTTTACGGCAGAGATGTTAAAAATTCCCATTTGTGTTTCTAGGCGGCTAAAGATGTAGTTGCTCCCTTATTGTCATCATGGAACACGGCGCCCATTCTGCTCCGATCGATTTTTTTCAATGGCCTGTTCGTACTCTTATCGCTTGTTGACGGCTACCTTTCGAAGTCAGTCGTTAGACAATCGGCAGCAACGTCGTCTCTCGCTCACATCAAGCAAATAGCGCCTTTTTTTTTGGCATTCGTCTGGGCTTTGGCTCAAAGGTTTACTTTTGCCTGCATTTGCTATGATCTTTTTCCACACATTATTAGCACGAACGCCATTCAATTTCCATCGCTCATGGCCAGTCGCTTGGGAAATAGCTCGAGTTCTTGTAGAGTAACTGTAGAGTTTCGCAAACGGAAATACGTTCAAGTCGAACCTTTATTCGGTCAACTCGTGTCAAAGGTCAAGTCTCCTTTCAAAGCCAGCTTTGTTCAGATTGTTTAAAATTGCTAGTAGACGTTTAGTTCTTGGCCTTCTTGCGTATCGGCCTCAAATGACAGTAGGGCCGTCCATAACGGCTCACCCCAAGCAAACATTTTGAAAATGGTGATTAGTTTTATATTCAGACAACGAGGACATTAGGCGCGTTAACACAAACATAATGAATGGCAACAGGAGAATACTCTTGCTGTCACAATATGAAGTGAATACCTGTTACCGAGCTACAGGATTCTTAGGACAAATGTGTCAAACAAACGACAACGATGTAATAACGATAGCTGCAGTGGTGCTACACTACAGATAGCGCAATGGTAACGTGATATAAACGGGTTTAATTTCTTAACCGGGCAGATCTAAGGTCCCCTTGGGAAAAGTAGTAGTGTTCTGTGCGGGTCAAATATATAAATACGTTAATAAATTTGCGAACCGATAAATAAAGTGCGCAGATTTTCGCAGAGTGCCGTGAACCGTTTTGTATGAGTTCAAGCGCACCTTGAAGACATATCATCATTGACTCTTCAGGAAAAGATGGCATCGTCGTTCGACTCTCTTTAAGGAAACTCGAAACAGCGAAGTTGATAACAGGTCTTTGCGCCTATCCAAACACTCGATAACGACATAGTTTTAAATAATGGAAAAGCTATTTCATTATCTCTTCTGGTGGCGAAAATATCCTTTCATAGACATTCCGCGTGTAATCTAATGAAACTACATGAAAATAGACCTATAAACATAGTCGTTTCGTTATTACGTGTCTAGCTGATCCATACAGTGGAAAGGCCGCGTGACATTTGCCAATAATTGTTCAAAAGCGGTACGAGGAGCAAGATTTAAGAAATGAAAAATCTCTCAAACCTTCGGAAGTAGCGAAACGCCAGGGTAACATATACAGCCAGAAATAGAAGTCGTATCGCCACGAAACTGTCTATGCAAGGACGGGGGCAGTTTTCCTTCCAGCAAACGCTTATTTTCAATATTTCCTGTGAGACTTATGAGCCAGGCAAGATATCTTCATCTTATCATCGTGAAGTTACGAAAATCCATCATGATTAACTTGTCTAGATTGCTTTTCTCATGCATGTTCAAATCAGTGTCTGGCCGGCTGTTTGGCGATGCGGTGCGTTTCTCGTCAGCAGGACCCACCTCTAATGAACAGTCGTAAGGCGTAGTACTTCACTACGCAGTGAAGTCATCATTAGGATTAGTCAACGCTATACGTGTAGCAACATCGTCGAAAGTAGGAATAAGAACATTCAGACAATATTTGCAGAACATAACAGCCTTTATTTCCCTTATCATGTCTGTTTGTCTATCCGGAAATAACACGACGTCACGTATTCACGGACTCGTTCAACGTCGACTTTCGCTTGATGTCTTCGAGATAGTAACTTCGCGGTGCTTCTCACTCAGATTCGTACAATTCATATTATCATCGCTTTCACATTTCCTACCTCGTTTTTATATTCGTTCTTCACGTTTTAGACATCCTGTCAACGACATTGCAGCAGTCAGCTCATCAGAGGAAGAAGACTGACATAACTTCACAGTCCTATCATAGTTTCCCTCAACTTTATGTTCTTAACTTGACTGAGTTAGTTACCGATATTATGTATCATCATTGTCATTATTATTAAAAAGTTAAAGCACAAAAATTCATTAGTTATATTAGTAGCAGTGATCTATGTATGAATGATCATTAGGTAAGTTTCTTTCTTCACAGTCAATTTCATTTATGACACTGTTAATGTATATATATATATATATCTATATATATATATATATATATATTGTGTATGTAAGGAGATTTATAATAATAACAAGAAAATCGCTTTATTCTTTATTGATATTATCATAAACTATTTAGAGTTATTTTTGCGTAGAAGAAAAGTAAATATACCAACCAGATTTTTCCTCATGAGCAGGACTTGATCCTGCTCGGCAAATAGGGCGCTTTTTTTATTTTTGATGGAAGCAGATTGCCTATAAAAATATAAAATTTTAAAACTTCCTTTGGGTCGCTCAAGTAATATATATGTTTCCTGATCGCGGCCAATCTATATCCAATGAAAATATCACTAACATTTTAAGCGATTCGATCGTTTTTTTTGGAAAGCGTGAAGCAAACGTCTAAATGTTAATCGTTTTAAAGTGTTATTTGGAGTATTATAATTTTTCGTCATGTCTATTTATATTGCTTTTTGTTTTTCATCCAAAAGCCTGCGTTTCCATTTTCCAAGTTTCTTTTGCTCGTTCGTACTCTTTCTCGTTTGATTCCTATGTTGTTCTCTGTAGCATTATGTCTAAGATGCCTAAACAGATATTTTCATTCTGGTTTTGTTTATTATTGATAATATTCTCGTGAAATTAGGAAGCTATAAGTTGTTTTCTGTTCATTGCTTAGCATTATTGTTATCTTTCGCGTGGTCTGTGTGTGCGCGCATGTGTGTGTGTGTGTGTGTGTATATATGGTCGTATTTGTACGAGGCCCAGCAAAACTATTCAGGAAGGACGACTAATCAGGTTGATGGAAATCATGGCCTGCGGAACTTCAGTTTTACGAAGTACGTGTTGTGTTAATGTGTCGAGGGTATTTGTCTATCCATTACGAAAGCTATACAATGATAATGCGTTGTTGCCACGTGGAAAATTATGTGCAAAAGTATAACATTCGTATTTTTCCATAATAGTTATCAATGTCATCGGTATCCATCTCTTTATCCATCTCCAATATTTTTTCTGGTTAGCCATATAATCCGTCCAAGCAATACAGTTCTTATGTCAGCACATGAACGGTGCGATGGCGCTCCTGCCGATATTTCCGGCGCTTCTCCATCATTTTGTATCGATAAACAATGACATAGCCGTTCTAATCCTATTGGACAAATCAATCGACGGATATTCTCCAAACGCGTTTCTTTTATTAGCCCTCTGGCCCTCTTGACCTTAATGGTACAATCGTCAATATAACGTGTACATGCGGTACGTGTTTACGCGACCGGTCAGTTGCCCTCGGCTTCACTCTGACTTTGGAAGATGCTTACGCAACTTTGAAAGCCAGATATCGGGAACCTGAAACGATACTGTGATGCCAGACTATCTGTATTGTCCGCTGCTTTCTAAATCGTCATACTTCGTACCACTTACCATTTGGCCAACGGCATTCAATATAGTTTTGCTTGCGCGTCCCGTTATCCGTCGTGTTGTGGCATTCGTTTCAGCTTTCCTCTTTAAACGTATTTCCATTATTACCAATATTTTCAATGTTACCATTATTTTTATCACCGTCAATGTAATTGTCATTATAGTCTAATTATCATCCTCGTTCGCATCATTATTATGATTAGTATTATCATCGGTATTGCAGTTATTACCATGGAAAGTTCAATATCGCATTAGGTATATAGTTATAACGGCACCTCTTTGCGAGAACAACAATGTTGCTATATTAGTTGTTGACAGGAAGGCTAAGTTCTAAGTAAACGATACTGTGGCTGGTTGAAGGATAGGAGGTAATCGGACTTTGTTTAGAGCTAACAACAGTGGGTCCCACAAGATTCTTCCATATTTCGATTGGAACTTGTGGTTCAACTGTTGGATGCACCCCCGTGTCAGCGATGCGTCTGGTTCTGCGGTATTGATTTCGCTTTCGAAAAAGGTTGTGATATTCGCTTGTTATCGCCTAACTAGTTTCATCGACATTGTCCATTGGTCGGCTTGTGCCACCGGCAATATGCGGTTCGGCTTTATAATCACTTATTACCTGCACCTCTATATATATATATATATATATATATATATATATATAATATGTCTGTGCCTTCGTTCCTTTGTAGACGTTAGCGGTATGTATTCACTTTTCCACCATCCATCTCCACCTGTTTACGTATATTTACTTGTGTTAGTTAGTGTTTGTTATTGATTTGTTTGTGTTAAATTTACATAACTGCACATCGATCATCACTGGATACTGGGTTCTCGAGCAGAAGCTTCGAATCTACTCTTGATCTGACATCTTCGTTGTCGAAGAGATGTTTGTTCCTCGTCTTGTCTTTTTTCATCCATTAAACGACGGCATACTGTGTAAGGTCCGGTTATGTCAAAAGGAGAGGGTCTCCGTGAGAACCCATCAAATGTCTGAGTTACGGACTCCGCATCCACGTAGAGCAATTGAATTTTTCGCTTTTTTTAGCCATTACTTTGCTTTAACTGCGTCTATATATGCTTAGTTGCAGCATGATAGCTTGGCTGTTGTCGCAGTTTGTTGTAATTATAGCTTTGTATCGGTAGAATACAAATCATAGGACACTATTTGCAGTGGGTTCAAGTTCGTTTGGTTTGTCGATGAATTATCGCCTCAGATTTGTCCTAGTCCTTTTTTGTTTGTCTCACGACTTGCGAAGATTACAATCTGTTTTTCAATGTAGTTTTGGTGGGCCATAGCGTGTACGCTGAGGCAGCAGTTTTCGCTTATTAGGCATACGTGTTCGGGTGGATGATCCTCAGTGTTATTAGTCATTGGTGCGGCGGCGCCGAAGGCAACGCGTGCAAAAAAGAGACTTGGCATCTCTTATATAGTAACGTGCCTGTGAATCCCGCGAGATAATTCACCGAAGAATGACGCTGAAGAATGAGTCGAGTTGGTTTTAATTGAACCTTTTAGATTTAAATATTGATTTCATTTGTTTTTAGTTACGATGATAAATACTATTATAATTACTAAAAGAAAAATCGGAGATGTGCTACATTGTCAAGGGCTGGAGGGAATTATCCTGTTACTATTTCCGTTTGTTATTGTTGCTTTATTTGTCGTCATTATTACTGCTGCTGGTGCTATTGATGTAGGTTGATTGTTTTGTTAGTTCGGTTTTCGCTAGGACATATTGCAACGGATAGGAAAGGACTTTGGTGTTAAAGAATTTTCTTTCATTACTTCTATGTTCATTGTTTGATAAGCTCAGAATGGACGCCAAGCGGACGTTAGCTAGGGTCGTAGACGACAAGTCACGCAAACGATGCGACGCTCATTCGATCCGACTCGATCACCAACGACACACGAAAGAATAGGTTGGCTACGCGCTTGGTGCCGTGACCAGAATCCGTAGGAATCCTGTCGGCCGTAGCAAGCCGCTCGGCACCGTCTACCGCAACGGCAGTACTTAATTATTTTCTCTTCCACCAGTACGGGTCTATCGAGTGCCTTTTTTTTTGTTTTCCTACAATAAAATGTCTTCTCCGGTAGAATCTCTGTCAACTGTTGTATATGAGTGTACTATATAGGTAATCTTTATTTTCTTCACGTCAGATTGATCAGGTAACAACGGGCACTGCAGAGTCGGCTTAAGTCGATGTTTTTTTAATGTGGTATCTGATTTTTGGCATGTTTTTTGCCTTCGTGACTGCTTTGTAGTTGATCTAGTACAGACTTATTTGTTATTTCATTGCCTAATCATTTGTTGCCTTCTGTTTTTCCCTGGGCTTCTTTGTATGAGTGGTGTCGCGGCCGCCCTGTTTTACAACGTAACCTACTTTTGTTCTATCAACTGGCTGCAGCATAACATATGCGCAGTTCATAGGGATCAATGGCCGGACCGATGCTTGCCTGCTCTTGAAACGGATTGATCGACTTAATCTGATTCTGCCGGAGTCCGTGGTCTGTTCTGACTTTCGTTTTCAAGTGTATATAAACATATCTAATATTCAATAAGTTTCCAGTTTTCTTCAGATAGTGGCCCGATGATAGCGTAATTGAGAAAAAAGCCAAAGGTGAACATGCCGAACAGCACGGGGAACACCGTCCTCGAGAAGTAGTCGATCGCCTTGGCCAGGCGCGGCTTGGACGGCAACTGCGTCGAGATGGCCTGCGGACGCCTTAGCCAGACGAACAGGGTCGCCACGGTGCGGAAACGACCGAAGCTCCGGTTCGACTCCTCGCCCGCCGGCGGATCCACGACGAACGTGGTTGTCTCCGTCTTCTGCGTGGACTCGTTACCCTAAAAACGGTTAGGAAACGAGGCAACACCAAAGGGATAACGATGACCTGAGTATAAGAAACCTTCGAAAGACTAATTCAAACGTTACCGTATTTATTCATAAAATGAGTTTCGTAGAGGTATGCTAATTCATTTTATAGTAGTATACTTTGCCGGTGCCGGATCTGATCGTCTGAAACATAGAATTTAAGGTAATATAATCACCATCTTTGTCTAGTGTCGGTGCAAGAGTAGAAATGTTCTCAAAATGTATGTATATTGCGCTTGATGCTTTTGAATGCTTGAATGCTTTTTAATTGAGTTTTAAAAACCGTCAGATCACATCTGGCCCGCCTGAATATCATTATAGCCACACTTCGTCAAGGGTTGGAACCAGCCGTCGATAGCACGTCTTTGGCCTGCGCATCTATGATTAGAGGATTCAGACGTAGAATAGATGTAGAAGAAAAAAACGCACTCAGCCATATAATACATAGTTTGTTATAACAGTTGATGTTCATACTGGTTTTCAATACCGCTTTAGTTTTACACGCAGATCTGTTATCGCAGACCCTACCGGCTATAGCGGCCAACCTTTTCTGATAGTCCCATCTCTTATCATCAAGCATCTCCTTTATGCCAACGGTAGATACGATAATATATATACACGTCTATATGAATGAGCATCGAATGTGAACGTCATGACGACAACAGGGTTGACATCCTCGAGGTGCGGATTCACGCCGAATCGAAACAGCACGCAGGCCTAACTGTACCTGTTTGTAGGCTAGCTGCTGTTTGGGCCTTGTCAACAAGACAGGGCCGTCATTAGCCTTTCATTACTCGGAATCTCGACTGTTGACGAGTCTGCTACCGAACGACAGCTGGCAGTAATGCGAAGTGGAGGACGTATTATCCACAGACGGTCACAGTGAGCCAGAGAGCGGAATGCAACCCAGATTATTTCCCGTCGATGCGTCTGCCTACAACAATCTACCCAGTCGAGGCGGGAGGGGTCGCCATATTGTTGTCTCTATCACAGCTGCGGTCTAATATTGTCGCCTATGCTAAGAAAGGGTACCGCTGTTGATGTATAATTAACGCCGTTGCACTTTATATACACCTAGCAGGGAAGCGTCATCCTTAGTTGTGGTTTAAGCTGTGCGAATGCACGTCGCTGTCTATTACCACGGGGTCAGGTCGCATTTTATCGAGGTGCTGGGAGATAGATTTAATGTACGTACGCATACATGTATGTATGTAGATGACATGGGTCTGACAAATTGGAAAGCTGCATCTGATGAGCGGTCAAGGACGTTCGCCGCCTTAACGAAACTCTATCGAAACGCTAAATCATTAGTACGAAAGATCTAGAAATCTATATACGGTATAGGCATACAACATTAGTTGGTCTACCAGCAGGCCGATGCGACATTTCGATTCGACTCCTCTGTCACCTGTAGGGCGGAACGCTGATGAGAGTATGTGTTCAGAAGCCTTCAAAGCTAAAGGCCAAGTTCATCATGTAAATTGTAACCATTGGTATGAACCTATATGCCTGCGGCAGTATATAGTAGGGCTGCAGACGCTGGAAGCTCGACAATCAAGATAACTGGAGTACAAAGATTCTGTTATTATTGGTCTGCTTCTGGCATTGTTTTCCGAGCTATCTGTTTATTCAGGTTGGGTTTACTTTTTTTTTTATCTAGGCGGCTATTCTATTCTTGAATAGTAGAATCGTCTTGATCTTAGCATAATTATTATCATTCGATATACACCTTTTTCGTATGTCCTAGCTTTGTTGAACGCCATAATTTTATCAAATCATATAGAAGAAAAAACGTACATACGAAGTAACAAATAATAAAATAATAGTGCTAATCGTAATGAGAAGGTTCTTGTTTGGGTTCTGCTGACACAAGTAAATTGACCTAAAGAAATAAGTAGAATAATTGTACTTTTTTTTCAATTTAATAAGATTATTATGTTTTGCCTATCTTGAATGATCCTTCTTCAAGCACCAACAATCGAATTTGGTCACTATGATACAAAGGCATTTTCATTTATACTATTTCCAAAGACGTAATAATCTTTCGTTTCAGATAGTAAGTGAGTGGTCGATAAAAAAACCAGGAGCGAAGAAACCCTAAAATAACTTGATGTCACCGATTCTAATCAGAAAGTCTTTTGCCCGAAAGTTCCCACAGCAGTGAACTGCTCTCTTTAATCATTGATCGTATGGGAGCAAAGTGCAACAGTATTTTCGCAAGGTGGCCTGCCTGGAGACGACAACGCGTCGTAGACGACCTGCGAGATCCCGAAGAGAGAAGCGGAATACGAGTCGAGTATGGGATACTGTGACATGGGACCCATTCGTATTACTGCTATGCACCCGTCACTGATAGTAATAACAAGCAATATAGGTAGTCGGAAGAAATCTTCACTGCCTATGTGTACACTGCAAATACATGCACGGCTGTAACGCTTTTGCTGTTTTATTGACGCAGAGATTTCTCGCGCGCATTACACCTTCATTCGAACTATTTGACTTTCGCATTGTTTTCTTACTCGAGTGGATTTTGAGCAACGCCGTTTACTATACTGACGGTCGTTTAAGTTCATCGGAAACGTTACTTCAAGAGGAGCAAGTGTCCGGTTTTGGAAAAGAGATGTTCGAAAAGGGGACACTTCCAGCCCGGAATTGCCGGACATACATGGCTGTGGTGGTACGTGGAGTAGTGGATAACAGGAAGCGATATTAGAGGTCAAGGGAATGCTAGGATGATCATGGCACTGAGTGCTCTGCAAGGATAAAGGCCGTTTGACACGGCGCCAGGTATCTCCAAACTAGTCAACAACCTTAAAAAAAATTAAATTTGCCTAGATACCGGGATTTCAACACGATGGGGCAGGCAACATGATAGTCTACGTGCGGGCACAACAGCATATCGAACGCTTTGAAGTCGCATTGTATATACATATATATGCTGTTCATCGTTTGAATGCCCTCTGATAATGGACCTGAAGTACCGTATTATCCTAGTCTGGGTATTATTATGAACAGGTTTATAATTGAAAGAGCTCTCACACACATGTGTAGAAAAAAGGGCGCATAGAACGAACTCATTGCTACCAACTGGCATTCTGCCATTTGAAAAATAAAGAAAAAAAAAAACATGAAAAACTATAGTTTGATTCACCGAAGTTGCTGCAAAGAGTTTTTTCCTTCAATTCGAGCTGAACAAAAACCTATGATAAAAAGAAAAAAATACCTAATTTTGAACCAGTGCATTTTCCATCCAACTTTTACACCTGGTATAGTCTTATAGCTCAGACAGTGATAGTAAATACCTATATTCCTGAGAAAATCGCCCGCCCTTAATGGTTTGTCACTGTTTGCACTATAGGGCCATCTTGCTTTGCGAGAGTGGCAAGCGACCACCGTCTTACCGACCTATCTCCGAATGCGATTGATTTGACCTTCGTAACAGTCACAGTTATCGATTATTTTCTATCGTCGTCTTAAATCTCAAACCTATGTATCTGTTGATCCTCTCCATTATCATCAGGCTCTATTATGGCATTGTACACGGAGAGATTGGACGAAAAATGCCATTTCACTGCGAAACTTCGGCGTTAAGCCCACACGTGTCGTTTATTATAACGAAAAACAAAATTGACGGTCGCTAACATATGGCCAATGTTCACCTATATATCTTTCTATGTGGCGTTAGTTCTGAGACTGAGAGATGTAGGCAGTACCTTGAACAACGATCGTTGTGTTGGTTTCGATACGAAAATGGTACATTAAATATGTGTTTATCGTATCGAGGCATCAGTGAGCAACTGCATGACAATATGAATTGGCAGAAACAACGCGAAGCCGAGGCCTCAAGCGTGTTTCGTAAAATTCGATTTTTCTATACCATATTTTTAATTTTTCTGTCTGAGTATTGATATCGGCAAAGACAGCAAGCACATACAGTGCGCATAGCCTTAACTAACCGTATGTAGGTATTGTTTTTTTGAAATTTAACAATGCAACGCAGGAATCATCTCGACGAGCTTAATTTAATAGTAACGTGACAACCAGCTACTGTTTAGGTAAAGGATGACGTATTTAGCATAGTGTCTTTCTTCGTTGAGAATGGCCTTACGCTCAATCTGCGTAGGCCGGGCCGGGCCAGGCCAGGCCAGGCCAAGCTGAGTTGCGTGACTTGAAATGAACTTGACGTGACGTATACACTGTTGCTTCGGTAGTTGCTAGGTGGAGAATGATTTTTTCCAACAAAGGCGATAGTAAGAGAAAACGGTGTTAGCAAAGCTATCATAGCTAGCGGCCTCGTGCATTTGCTTTGCGGGATGTAATATTAGGCAACAAAGTCAATAGTTGAAAGTGCCGCCTACGTGAGACTCGGAGACCGCCACTTGAGATGACGTCGCTTACGTTAGATTTCCCGAGAGATTGTGAACGGCTATCCAACTGTGGACGATCGACTGCCACATAATCGAGTTGGTCGAGGGGGCCACGACGGGGTTTTGGTCAAACGCCAGCTTACCTTTCTACATTTGTTTCACGCGCATTATCTTCGCGGTGGTCATACGAGTAATTACGGCTACAAGAAAAGGTGAAGGAATCGTTATAATAGAAGCACTCGAAAAGAAAGCGTATTAAGCATCGCTGGATCCCCAGATATTAGGATGCGCACAGATACAGACATACGCACGTATAACGCCCTCCACAGCTTGTAATTGAATGCGCAGTGAAATAGCATCGTACAATTAATTAGATGAATAATAGAAGTATTTTAAACGTAGATGTATAGTTCGAACCATTTCGAGCGTATATTAGTAAATCGATATACATCCGCCACACACTACTACCGCTGCTGCTAGTTATTTATAAACAAGAACTTGAACATTTAAAAAACAAGCAATCGCATGAGATTACGTTTTGTATATTGTTTTACGATCTTGTTGCCTGTCATACTATTGCACGCAGCTTCACACACATGCATTGACTGCAAGCGAAGGTAAGTTGAAGCAATCATGTCTCTGCACTTTATAATAATCAATGATAGACAGTGAACTTCGATAAAGCTTCCACTATTAGATATGGGTGTCTTGCTTGTTTCACGTCTGCCTTATTCTAAGAGCTCTAGTTGTAATGACCGGAATACAAAAGACAAGACCAGAAGCTTTAGATCTACCCGACCGGTTACACGCTTTTCCAGCTTACCTATCTTAAGTCGGCCGTCATTTACTCTCATTACACTTCCTCAGTTCTTTGTCCTACTTCGAAGCAGTTACAGGTTGCGTAAGAATAATGGTTATAGCCTTCATCGTGGCAAAGATTACTCTGATGGTAATGGCAAAGTAATTTAATCACATCGCCACGCCATCGAGTTTCCATCATTCACCGCCTGAGCTTTTTGTCCGTCGTAACCTTTGATAGTGCGTGGAAAAGACGAACTACGGTGAAAAACAAACGGGGCCGCCATGTTGTCGAAGACTTAAAGGAAACTCGATAGCAGCAGCAGCAGCGTCGACGACCGGGCGGTCACTGCGTTCGCCGTATCGCTTCTCTGGTCGTTGTCGTCGTAGCGACAATCAAAGCGTTTTTGATAGCGACAGAACTGACATGACCTAATGTACTGCTACTGCTGCTGTTTCCACTGCTGTTGTTGATGTTCTGGCTGGTCACTGATATAAGGGATATATGACCGTTGAATGATTCGGCGGGCGAATAAACAGATATCTCGATTGAAGGCGACATCGAGGGAAGGACGAAATGAAGAAAGCCAAAGATTTGCAATAGGTCAACAGAAAGAATCGTGCCTGACATTCATGGCGGAAGAAGAAAAGCTTTCGTTGAGCTTGCCTTAGCTCCTGCTAGGGCAGGCCTATGTTTGAATTCATAACAGGACGAAGTTGTCATCGCTCACTGACCCTAGAAGAGTGTTCATTCAACGGGCAAAAGTAAAAGCCGGAAGACGGGCTAGTAACGAATTGACGGGAACACTTGAAGTAAATGCATTGATGCAAATATCAAGGTGAGAGGACAAACCTTTATAGGCACATACATACAACCACATACCCTTAAGTCACACCATTTCGTGGAGTTTTAGAAGAGCATCCTTTTACGTCCTATTGAACGCACAAGGGAAACTGCTATCTGTAAATACTGTCTGGAATAAACTAATTATAGCATCGGAACAGAAGCAAGCTCCGTTGCCAGTAAGCGTTGCATACAAGAAGTATTTTTTTTCAACTGACTTGATAAAGCATGGTACTATGCCTGCTTATGCAGTCCAAGAAGAATACAAAACTTCTTGCCTTCTGTAGATTTCCCTTAATACGCAAATAATTCGAAATTGTCCTAAGTCATTCTAATCGGTTAGCAAGTTCCTGACAAAATTCAATGGCATGTTCGTCCAGTAACGGTTGAAACTCTGCATACGGCACCGTCTCAAAGCGTCAAGGCCGTGCATCATCATCGTCCTCATCCACTAAATAATTGCCTTTAGAAAATCTAGCAGATTACTTTCTAGTGGAAATTAGATGGGTACATTCTGTTGCCGTTTTTAACAGTTTAAAAATGACCAGAGTACAGAGCCTCAAATGGCACCGTTCGAACTTTGCTTGAGCGGTTACTTTGCGGATTATACTTTGGAGCGATCAACTCTTTAAATAACGCCAAGTATTTAAAAGACAGGAAGTGTTTATTATGATATGAAGTTTATGAACACACTAGACCAAAATCTATATGCAGAATAGCATGAAACATAGGTCCGTAGTTTCCCGTATTCTATATTCCTGCACATCTCATGAGCGATGTAAACAACATCGGCTGCATCTACAGAGACAGCAATAGCATACGTTAGCTTTGCTTGCATGACGCAAACTCGAGATGTGATAGAAATCGCGAGCATCCTGTTAGCTATTCCCTTTAACGGCAGCGTCAGCAGCGGTATGGAAAAGTAAGTCTGTTTGAAGCAAAAGTCACCGAGGCTTCAGTTCTTTTTCTTCTATGGGCTTCATCTCAACTCACCTACTCACAGCCGGTATCCCTCAGGTTTCACTTCTGCGTTTCAACAGACCGAACAGAAAGAACATCTCAAATATACCAAGTACAGCCCGAGCATAGCTCGTTGCGGGGACTCTACGCTTCGGTCTGTAGGAAACAGATCCCGAGGCGTTTCACCCCACAAACCCTCAAGGGTAAAAGGTTTGTCAAGACCGTGATCTACATATTCTGCTGTTTGGCTCTTTCGGCGCCTGTCCTACTCAAGGTCATTTGAAGTCGGTTGGCAAGTGCGCAGAAACTACAACAAATCTCGACAGACGAAACGCAGAAGGGCAGAGCCTTCTCATAGCAATCCAATAAAAATAACACACTTGCCAAAATACGTACATATCCGCACCTAGTTCAATTGATATAGCGCGTTTTTGAGTAAAAAACCGTGCTTTAAAAGTCGTTCTGAATCGTTATGTGTTTTTTCCACTTGTCATGTTTATTACAAGGACTTTGATGTCTTTTTTCGGATAAAGGGATAATATACGCCTATGAATATAGCCAAGATATATACTTATAAAATGCATGCAGCACGATTCGATGCATGATCGAATCGGGCCCGATCCTCAACTCAATTTTGCTTAGTAATTGACTGCAAATTTTGCCAACTCTGTCCGAAGCGTATCTGAGAGATATGAGTTTACTGGTGCGACTGTTTAACATTTACAAAAGAATGACTATATATGCGACTGCCCCACTATTCAGGATAATTCATTCCTAAATGGGTTCTTTCGCGATAGAGATATGCTAGAAAAATGATCATATAATTCAATCTGCGAAATTAGAAATCGATGGTTATGACTAGGTAGTTGAAGCAATCAATAAATAAATATTGCAGTTTTCCTTTAGGACTTCTACCTTATTCCACAAAGCGACAGCGAAACCGATTTTACGGATATATATGACAGGAATCTTATAGCAATAAATAGCTTCGCTGAGCGGCAATGAATGTCTCGCCTTGAGTCATATATCCGAGTTTGTACTGTGAATGCCCTTATAAATCAGTATTACAATACGTCCATATCAATAAAAGCTTTGGCACGATATGAAAAATGCTAAAAACACTTAAACTGGTTCGTAAACACGTACAAAAAACCGTCGAAACATCTCTTCATTATTTCACTATTGCTAATATAATAAATAATAATATTTTAATAGAAGTTGAACAGCAAGTCTACAATGAAACTTTATAAACAAGCTATTAAATTCGTTCCTCGATGTACATAATGATAAAAATAGCTTCTGATATTATGCTACGCTCAAAAACTACCAGCTAGCAGGATTCCATGGAAAACTGCCGGACCGAATAACTCGGACTTCCATTGGTTTAATTATCAATAGTCTATCATAAGGAGCTTCTAAGACATGAGCAAATACCCTGTTTAATGTCTATAAAAATCCTTATCATTTTATATTATACGTGAGCTTATCAGAGGGCTTTCAAACAAAAATATATTACTTCGAAACTGAATATATCCGCTAGACAGTGTGGCAGTCTGAAATAAAAACTCTCAATGATTTCGAATCAGTATAACGATAATAAATTGAGCAGCGTAAGCCTCTTTACCCTGTTTAAGACAGCCAATCATTTTCGTAGGTAAACACAGGCCACTCCACAAATCAGCGTCTTATATTGTCAGTGTTCAACTAACGATCATCAGGTCTGGCATAGACATTATAAACTATTGCGCAGAGTTCTACAGGAGATCTTTTAGATCGCGTATACGCTTCATATGACTTCAAGCCGTTTATTTTTCCCCATTGGTAGCTGCTAGCCACACAGAACGCATTCGTTCATGTATGGAAAATATCCAAAAAATGTTGAAAGGGAATTAAAAAAAAAAGGATTGTGCACTGATACTCTACAAAAAATGATGCCGAGTTTGGAATAAAGTTAACTAAAACATGATAACGCAGTGGACAAAAGCAAACGTTGAAAATACTACAAAACGCCATGTTAGCGCGTTACCACACCGATTTCATGAGCGACGGTGCAGTTTCCTTGGTCCTTAAACCCTACCATAAACGCGCTGTAACGACATCGCGACCCCGGCAAAACATTGCGATAGGTTTCTTACTAATTGTTTCTATGCCGTTCCCGCCACGTTCCCGGTCCATGTTGGACCACTAAGTAAATCAAGGGGATATTTCGAACAAGGAGTTCTTCTCTATACACGTATCTATCAATAAATATGCAGGCGACCAGTTCTCCAGTTTGTCAATTCAATATTAAGTTCGATAAAGGCCCGACATCGCTCACCGAATAATAAACTCGTCAAATACCAGAAAAATTGTGTTCACTTCCTGATTTATCAACTCTCGATAATTTTAGCTGGACCGTAACTTCGTCAAGAGAAAACCAGCGTAAAGCGAACCTTCTACTTACAAACTAACTATGCCCAAGCCTTCATAAATTAGAACAAAAATAGAAATAGTGTATATATTCCTCGGCGCTGAAAAAATAATAACACCACAATGCAGTACGATTTGTGCCACCGTAACGGTGCACTGCGATCGAGATGCACGTTATATAGATTCATGGATTGAGCTGTAATGTGATAAAACTAATGCCAAAATAAGCCTCAGCCTCCTATCATTCTGCAATAAACACTGAAGAACTTTTGATGCCAAGGCAATTTCTCTAAACGATCTATCGATCGAAAGCCACCAACCGAAACTTCAGTCTCCTCGAGGACAACGTGAACTTCTGTCAAAATTTTTGACTGCACACTGCGACAAATTATGACAAAGATGTATATGTATGCATGCATGTATGTACATACTTCTCTGCCGCACTAATACCACTTGCTTTTTTGTAAGACATAAAACTATGTATCACTGGAACCCCCGCAATGTAGATGTGGTGGCACATTTCGCAGCTATCTAGAAAGAGGCAATTCAACTAACCTTAACATAGACATTGTGTTTGTTGTTCTGCTGAGCGAGGAGTGGGGTCGCCTGAGGATGGTTTTTCGAGGCAACGGACGAGGCATAGCTGTAACGCCTGTGGCGTTGATGCTGTCCCAGGTTCCGATATAAGTAATTAACGATTACGAACTCCAACATCGATGCGTAGATGAAGAACATGCATACCTGTAACCGAACGGGGGAATCAAAGACACTAGTAAGTGTTAGAGATTAGCCATGCGCTACATACGCAGATCATTCTTGTCTGATACAACGACGCGATCTCGGACATCTCGTAGACTGTAGCTCCGCTTATTAAAATGGACATCTTTGACTAGTTTAGAAAAACAAAGCATACAGAAGTTTCATGAATTGACAAAGAACAAACTGAAAAAGGCCAAGTTCGATACTCATGTACAGGGTTTTCATTCTGGCTGCCAAATTAAGTTAGTGTTAAAAAACACGATTGATTATGCTTAAAAATGAAGTCGTTATTATTTCTATTTATTCGATACATTTCGGTAGCATTGTCGTTTCGTAATACTTTGCTACCTGTCAACTACATATTAAACATGCACTGTACTATACGAACAAAAAAAAAAAACAAAAGAAAGTGTCAACAATATATTAACGCTGATCTGTAAGTAATATTAAAAACTGCTATCTTGGCCACCTGATTCGAGTTTTTTTTGGAAAACAATAGCTGTTTCTTGTCTACGCAGAAATACAAAAATCATCAATTAGATGAAATCATAATAATTTTTTCGATAGTCAGATCTGTTCATTTTCTAAAACGTTTAGCTCGTATCAAGTTCTATAACATAGCTTCCATATTTGCAGAACAATTTTCACAGCCTTAATAGCGCTACAGGCATAAGTGCCTATAGGCATGCAAGTTCACCTTCGGTACGTTCAACAAAGTATGTTATATATGGCATCTAGATATATTTCGGATATTACATTTAGCCTAATCTACACTTCTGCTCTGAGCATAACGGGCATTTTCGTGCATTAGGAGGGCTTATAAGCTGATCCGCATTACTATCAGTAGTTGGACTACTTTATCCCAGCTGAACTGAAAATTGTTCGTTATGCGGTGCCGATTTTAATTTCCAGTTGATTAAATGGAAAAATCTGTTTTGTTTCGTGTTGATAATTTTGTGTTCTGTATAGGACATCTCATGTCAGGGCAAGAGGTGGACACTGTTTTCGGCTCGATGATAACACATATGTTTGTCAACCGGAGGGGCTGAATTTTCTGTCGAAAGAATGCGTCAGTATACATCCCTTGTTCCTAGCTGTGATGTCACTAATTTCACCGAAGGTTATCGCTAGCGACATACAATAGCGATTTTGCGACCCGCATTTATAAACCCCATTCATATAGCACGGTCGTTTGTTACGAAAGTTGTCACATCTGTCACGGTGGGACAACACCTAGTATTGGAACGTTTTTTTTTTTGCTTTTTTCCATTCTTCTGTACGATTACGTTTGTCAACTTTTTCACAATGCCTGAGGCAACATTAGAACTGTCAATTTAAAAATGAGCACGCGCCCAAAAACTTGTAGTTAGATTTCATATTGGCTTTTTAATAGACGAGGTGCATTTCTTTGATCTAAACAACTACGCAATGTAATACCTATTCCATGATGATGCATAAAGACACACATGTTTACAAGTATGCGCTTGTTTAACAGAATATCAAACAAACGTTTACGTGAAACGCACATTTGTGCTTACTTCGCTTTGAATATACAAGAATCATGGATAATCCCATTTGACCTGAGTACAATTAAAAACTATTCGACTTGAGCTGCGGTGTGTATCCTATTTTTCGGACCTGGTAGCATTTGTTTTAACAATATTACTATTATGATGTACAAGCAAAACGAAGGTTTGCTTGTACATCCACTGGAAATGCGGAAGCAGGTCTTATTTTCATAACTCATTCAAGAGATAATATATAATTTGTTCGGTCGTTTTGATAACTCTTGCCAAACATCGTAACGACGCGGAGTTTCAATTGAATTGTAAAATCCATCAATAACAGTTTGCGTGGGGTCTGCCAACAGTAAATCGTTGTGGTGTGGTAAAGTGGACCTCTGTTTGTCAATAAGGACCAAGTTCCATTTGATAAATCCTCCCTCGAAAGCCGCCTGCTTTCCCGCCCATTTGCGACTATTGATTTTTCCTTTATACTGTTCTACTGTAGCACTTGAAGCTAATTATCGCGTAGTAAAATACGAAGTTACAGAGCCCCAACGTAAGCAACGGTTGATGCAAATCATCGCACGTACAGGGATGCACTTCGCAGAAACACAAAAGAAAAAAGTTACGCACGTCATGTAACTCAACGTAGCATAAAATTAAATCTCATTATATTAGCTGTTAACTATCTGTTATAACGTGCAGCATATGCGTACGATTTGGGACAGTTGACACGAGTTCTTTGAATTGAAGATTATTTAGAAACAAATATATACATCGTAGACTTCGACCTATCGTCGAAATACAAGCGTATGCACTATTTTCCTTCATCCGTTACGAGTTGAAGCACATTCATGGTTGTCCAGCGCATCATAGCAGGTGCCTCTTGTTTACAATCGGTACAGGAATATTATTTATGTTTGTTTTCATTGCAAGCAGACGCTCAGAGACACACAGATGCGCGGTCAATCAGTATAAATATCATTCTGTAGGATAGGTCCTACTACACTGACACATAGATGCTACGCACAGCCATATTTCTCTAGCGTTTAAGCGGAACGCTTTTGAAATGAAAAAAAAATTGTCCCCTTGTCAATTTTTCCATAAACAAAAATGGGATTTCAGGCCTTTTAACGAACTTAAAACCTTCACTGTTTAGATAATTTATTTGTGCATCGTAGCATTGGCGTACAGCTGCTGGATAAATGAAATAACCGAAAATCTTTTCTAAATAATGCCAATTGCGCGAGTTTTCAATTGATCAAATTCATTGGTCCGCCGTAGCTTCACCACAGTATGGCAGCTTTTAGCAGCAAACATTTTATCTTGAGCCTGTGCTCAAGTGTGTGTATATTGAAATTAATATGAACGAACTGGCTGTGTTCCCAATAGGATCTTTACCCAAGCAATCAGGCGGAACTAATGATACATGTAGAAACATTCGTCGACGCTGGGCGACACGGTCCTTCTTCAGCGCCGCCTTTTGCGACCTCTTAAATTCTAAGCGAATTCTAACCCATACAAAGCGACTACTGCCACCTCTACTAAAACGAACAACAGTGCGGAACACGACAGAGTACTGGCGATAGCGTTTACGGACACAACTGTAACCTTCAAAATAATGGTGAATTTTATTCTATATTAAAATCAAATAGCAGAGAAGAGCTAGATGTTGCTAGAAAACAACAGGCATAACTTGACAACACAGGCAGAGATTAGTGGACATATCGTTATTTTTTATTTCGAAACGGATAAACAGCCAGTGTTGCATAACTCGGCTTATATTTAAGATAAGTTTGTCCAAATCTGCTTTTCTACATAAAATGTACAAAGTATAAAATGCGCACAAATGCCGCTCAACGCTGATCTAAGATGGAATAATAATAAAAGAAATGTTTACATTCAATCATAAACCACTAAAGTTATCTGATACCGATAACATAAACGCCAGTTTTAATAAGTTTCTTTGTTATTAAACGTTCTTCAGGTGATTTTTCGAACGTTTATTCATTCGTATCGTAGCAATGCAGTTAATACCGTCTACGAGAGGAAAGCTGCTTTGGTCTTGTATTTCGAAATAAGGATGTACTCGTATACAGAGACCGGACTAATTAAGAATAAGATTTGCTGTGCAAGCAACACATTTAGAATCGTGATGCTTTTTTCAGATGATCGTCTTGGTTGGTCCTTTTGCTTTCCCGAGGACGGCTTTGGCGAAGAATCTATTGTTGGTCGCCGATTACGTAAAAGGCGCAGCGGTCTAAGAATTTACCTAGAAGAAACAGCTGGATCTCTAATAGGGCACATTAAAAGGCACTTGATCCAGACAACTTGAGAAAAATCGTCATTGTAGTTGCTCTTTTGTTAATCTAAGATGTTAAAAGCATATATAGATATGTTGGGGCTGTAAAATGATAAAGACGATTCAGTAATCGAAGGCTGCTGGGCCAATATTCTGTCAACTCTTACTTGACAGTCGTGTATGAATTACCATTACTATTACTATTATCAGATTGACTGTTTATCTAGCAAAGTCTCATTGACAGAATATGAATTGCTGACAAGCGCATCGGCGATGCGTTTGCCAAGCATATATCGATTTACCAATTATGTTACTTACACCGTCCCAAAGATTCATAGCGGTCAAGTTCGAGACGACGGGCAGTGTCGAGCGAAACGAGTTTGTCGTGGTGCAAAAATTCAACATGGTTGTCACACCAATCATCACCTAAAATCAACCGAGAAGAAAAAATAAGCAAATCTTCTAAATACATAACTATACACCTCTGCTGTAACCGTCTATAGAGAATTTCTACACTGCACCTAATTCCGTTCGATCCGTGTAGCAACTCTTCATAAGCAGCATATTAATTTTTTTTGGTTGGAACATGCAAGTAATATCGATCTATAGGTGATGTCGTTAAAGGACAATTAACGTTCATGAAGTAGCTTTGCCTAGGATAACCTTCATGAGCCGGTGCGCTTCAGAAAGCCCTGACGTGCTATAGCTGAACCCCGAAACTATACTCTAATAGTATTGCGTGCTAAGGTTTCTTCAAAGCTACACAGACACACGCTGCGATAGATTAATACTGACTGATTCGTACGTCGAAAAGTAAAATACTAAAGATCGTGCCTTCCCTAACAATTACAACTCAAAATATAAGTTTATATATATGCCTTCGCCATAAAATGGCCTGATGAAACCTTACAAGTCACAAGTGTGGCTCCTTGAAGATTTGGCATTTATTGTGGAATCACCTTGTACGCTTAAAATTTTATCCATAGCCCAAATTGCTGATCTACAAGTAAGGCAAGGGAAATAACTGTAAAATATATGGACATACTATATAATAGGCGAATATATAATATCCGTTTATTATATAATAAACCAATATATATGAACTCTAACAGTTAGAAATGTCTATTGTACAATTATTATTTTTGTAAAAAGTAAACATTTTTAGTACAACTCGCTAATCTGATTAAGATCAATGATTACAACAGGAATGCCGTTTTTCAAAAAATATTCGAAGCATATATTGCGTTATTGCTAGGCGACAAATGAGTTCAAGCGCAAGTTAAAGCATACTGCTGACTTTGGGTTAGGCTAGTATCTACGTGTTTTTGTTAATGTTAATAAAGAACTCAATAAATGAAACGCCAATTTCCATTTATCAGCGGTGATCAGAATTAAAAAAATCTCCTTTTCTTCAGAAGCTTTTTTTCTCTTTTGATCGTTCTCCGTTTTTTTTTCAGAACCCTAAAGATATCCTTCTGGTTGATTGTTGTTGCATTCCTCAGAACCTCGATCAATATCATCGTTATTTGTTGCTATCGTTCCAAGGATATGAGCGATTAAAGTTTTTTTCAACGTCTGCCTGAACAGCGATACTCTCGCGTATCATTATCACGTCCCAATGCTCGCTTTTCTGTGCATTTCCAATCGAGATGCGTCTACGCGTTTCCGTCATCTTGTTCTTCATCTCCTTTCCGTCCTATTAAATTGTCGATTTTTGTCCCTATGAAGCATCCTTTATGACTCTTCCTGTCCGTTTCCGATTAAAAGCCATATCGCGGTAGTCAGTTTGTTATTATTGGCCCGGCAAATATGACTGCCAAATCGTTTAGGCACGCAGTGTCGCCGTGCCCTGGACGTTTAATATCGAATTCCAGGACGGCCGGAGGCCTTCTACTGGGACCACGAAAAAAACGATGAAATTTGAAATTCCAGTCAAGTAGAAGGTGGCGAAAGAGACAATAAGATTAATCGAGGAAAAAGAAGCAAAAAACAAGAAACAGGGGCGGAGAAAGATTTTGATAGCGAGCGCGAAGAGGAGGAACGGTAGCCAGAGGTGGTGGAGAGGGCGCTTCATCTCTTTGTGACCTGGATCCTAAATCTCTTTGTTTGCCTGTGCTCGTATATGTCTAGCACGGCAGGTGTGTGTACAGCTACCATCAGTTGGCGTCCACGTGGGACGTATATCGAGCACCTATCTACACAAAAGTACATGAACAAACGTACAAAGTTCTGCACATCTCTACCTGGATACCATGATACGCAGCTAGGTGCAGGAAATAAAGACGGAGCCAACAAAATAGTTATCTTGGCTTATGTTAGCCCTTCAAAGCATACTACCTGGTAACAGCATTATGTAGACCAACGACTAACAGACCGCTAACGGGGGAAGATGTGGTCTTTTGTGTAATGCGATCTAAAAGATAATATACGCTAACATAGAATAGCCAGACCTCTCAATACCTATTTGCGTAAAGCCCTGCTATTGGCAACCGACCTTTGATCCTACCGTCTGTACTAGGGTTCCATGAGTGATATATTTCTGATGATGACGATGATGATTATAGTCACCATGATGGCAACGATAACAACGAAGACATCGATAACACTGCTCAAATAAATAGGCCTAAATTTGCAGTCAGGCCCTTGGTGTGTTCAAGTTGCTTATATCATATGTCCTGCTTACGAAAGGCAATAGACCCGTTTCAGTACGTAGGCAAGCGGTCATCATTTGTATGCGTACCTTACATGAATGCTGTCGCAGGCCGAATATTAGCCTTAACACGTACTTACCCTGGCTGGTACAGCGTTGATATCAAGCCAGAACGATATAAACGAAGAGGTGACAAGCACAATACCAGGGACGAACACTGTGGAAATATAAAATGATTTGTCCCTGGTAAATACGAGCAGTACCCGAAGACAGGAGTAATTGCCCCTCCATGTGTGTCGTTTATCGCAATATCCTGTCTCGTTCTTAGCCAAATATGCGTTAAGGGCGCGCAAAGATGACGCCCGCGTGATATTTTCATCCTCTTCCGACCAGTCGATCTGTAGAGTATGAAAAATAATGGAAGAAACGTTAAGCATACTTCGTTGATATGTTACAAAGTAACCTGCACCTAGTTTAGTTGAACTGCTACTAATATAAATATTCTAACAAGATCTAATACGCTTACATCAACATGATAGTCATTTGGCTCCTCTGAACAGACGTCTGCCTGCGCGATACTCTTACTAAGTGGAAGTTGCGTACAGGCACACAAGACGGATACAAGAAAGAAACAAGTCGAAAAGGAAACACTCGATTTCTAAAGGTACTAGCTGGCTATTTGCTTAATGGAATTCCTAGGCACCGATTGAACTGATCACCTTTAGGTTAGTATGAAGCCGATCGACCTGCATTCTTCGCGGAAGTGTGAACTCTTACAGACAGAAGAAGAACGTCGTGCTCTGGCTATCGTGTTACACAGTCTATCCCAACCAATAGACCCGGCGACATTCACTTCATACTCTAATCCTTCGTAGGAAGCACACATCGCAACGACTAGGTAAGCCAAAGAAATGGCTTTATCTACCCCCGTAAACAGTATAGAATATAATATGATGAATTTGACCCGGAAGTTGCTAGGCGCGGAATTATCCTGCGAATTCGGAATACATTACAGAACGACTTTCCGAAGGCGAGTCGCCGGGCGCTTCATAGCATACCCATAACGATAATCGATTCTTTTGAACAACTTCTATTTAAAAAACGATATCATGAATCTCTGGCCTTGTAACTTGTTCAAACGAAGAGTTGGAAGTTCCTGCAGGCGTTGCCGCCCCTGTTTTCATCGGGACTTTGGCTACAGTGTGCTAAATGTATATGGAATCTTCTAGTTGTTCTAGATGTGTGTAAGTTAAGCCGGCACCGCCGCGCCGCTTGGCCAGCCGAGCATTAAACGTGACGTGACGGTGAACTATGAACGAAATACACTCAGCTGTCGCTGACGACTGCGATCTCTTCGCCTTGATCTGCTTAGCTGAAGCCCGGCTTCGTTTGACCTGGCACAGAGGTGCGGTTGTATAGCAGGGTGACGCGGTGGGCAAGGGGCCTACTCCGACCTTTCTGATCTGTTTGTCCGGCCGACGAGCCGCTTTAGCATACGCTTGGGATTTCCTGCTACAACGGGGTCGATTAGGCGTGTCGTTCAAGGGCCAAGGTTACCACATCGCACAAAACAATGAGTAACAGTATACTGTACTGTATAGTGAAGGTAGTTCTGCGCCCCATGAAAACATATGAGAACTTCGATTCGTCGCTTGTTCAAAGACGTATATAACAACAGCATCAGAGTTTTATATGCAGAGGGTTTTACGCGACTAAACATATGTGTTCATAGCTCGCAATGCAAAGAGTAACGAATCTCGTTTCGCTGCTGCGAACTAGAGCGGATGTGTCGTGTATACAATGTGTGATAGTAATCCACTTTTTATCCGTAACTTAGATATAATTAGATATAGAATGCCTAGCAGCGTGTATGGAAATCAGGGCAATACAATATTTTGTAGATCGGATTTTTAGATCAAGTTAAGTACAGTTGTTCTGTTTTACTGAATAGGGGGATGTGATATATACATGCTATACACGGATACCTGTGGCAAGGTATATATAGATAGATTTGTGAATGGCTATAGGTAGGTAACTAATGTAATGTCCAAAACCAGAAATTTAGGCACCTCCTAGAAAGATACCTATATTTTTAATCTAAGAATCAATACACATTTACACCTACATAAGATCAATGCTAGTGGCTGTGAAGAGTTCATTCCTGCCAACCAACGAGAAAGCCAAACTAATCCCTTTCATCCTATGATAGCGGTAAGATGGCTAGCTATATTGTCAGCTACATGAACAGCCAACTTCTCCACTGCCTAGACGATTGGACCTTGTCGCCGAAACTGACATACGGCCTATAGGTCCTTTTACGTAAGGAATGAGGATTGCGGATGGTCGGGCGACCAGTACCTGCAAGAGGCATCCCAGTGGTGGTTCAATTTTCGTACATGCGAAACGACTATATAGGACGCTTTCAAGGATGAACTATATGACCGTTTTGCGTTAAAGGAGGCTGGGTTATTTTTTGCCGCCACAGAAGGAAGGAAAAGACACTCAAATATTGGTGCGTGCTGAACGAAAATTGCTAAGCTGATGAGCTTGAACTTAAGTGTCTTTGTCCAACATCCGACGAACGTAAAATAAGCTGGTTTCAATATTTTGGCACAGCGACAAAAGCCAATTTCCACACCAAGTTAGTTCCGAGCGGTCCGAGATTATGAGTCGGACAAGTGCGACATTCGCTCCCGGAGGCCCGCGCAGAAAAGAATGAACACCTGTCACTATTTGGCAGTGCGGAGCGCCCACAAATTGCGATTGTGAAGGTACGGAAAATGAGTGAAGGGCACTGCGATGTTGGAAGCTTGTACTGCAAGTTCATGCTTTCAAGAATACCACCTTCAATGCATCAATCGGGGCGCATCAGTTAGTCAGTCCTCGGTGGGCGGCGGTGAAGATGGACGGTCAGCGGGTTCACCCTCAACCAAGACACATCGTGCCGCGCTAGTCCGAGGGCACCACAATTAGTTCTGTCAAAATGAGCCGAGGACTTAATGCCTATAACTTGTCGTCGGGCCACGCGAGCGTAAACGGAACTGTACAGCGATTGATGGCCTGTTATTTCTTGAATTGGGAGTATGGGCTAGAGCACATGCGTACATGTACTAGCGGAAGGAATCATGAAAGTACGTTCCTTAACTGTAATCCGTTCAGAAAGGATTTGCAAATCCGACGTTGAAGTGACTGAACATCCGTCCGGTTGGACGACGCAGACGCCCGCTATCAGTACATCAACTGCCCGAGGAGCACGATTTGCTTCAGCACGATGACTAATTCCTGAGAGTACTAGACAGCCCAATGTAAACCCACTAAGCCTTAAAGCACGCCGGCCGCGCGATAGGGACACCCCGTTAGATAAGGTGGTCGAGTAGTAATGATAAAAATGTTGCACGTCTACAGCTATATAAGAACAGAGCGAAGGTAAGTAAAGATATAATAAATTTTCCAAGTTAGAACTTATATATATAGAATGACACTATCATCCGATTGAATAGATTAAATAACATTGGTGAAATAGAGATAGCCAAAATATACCAACAATGAATGATCGTAACGACATTCTCTGTAGGGAGATATTTGAAAGCCATCAGCACGTACCCTCGCTTAGACTAACGTAGGGTATGACTGACCACGAAATTGGGCAATGAAATAAGTTATGCCAAAAAGAATAATCTCTTTGTTGATTAGACTAGGCATTGTGAGGTAGAAGTGACTGCACCAGGAAAAAAAGCACGCTGCTATTACGGCATGTCTAGACGTGACTATAACCAAATGTACAACTGAGCAGTATTTAGATAACATAACAAAATGGCCGATCGTGCTATAACCTGCGAATGGTAACTTCCAAGTTTCTTCTTCAAAGTATGCGCCGAAGTGCACCGCTGATCAACTCAGATTAACGATAATTGCAGATTAACACCAATTGCAAGGCTTCACGACTGATTCAGAGGCGATATGCTTTGTATTCATCGGACAATCGGTGCGCTAATGGCGTATTCGCTAAAGCTGTTTTTCTACGTGTTTTCCACTAATAGCAATAATTTTTGAAATACTAAGTTACCTTAAGCATATCTGTCTCCTGTGTTTCACTTCAGTGAACCACTGCTATCTACAACAGACACAGTCAGCGTGTCGAGACAGTAAAGAGTGTGCACGCTTAATAGGACCAGGCAGCATTCGCGCGAGGACAACAAGAACGGGTGATGGATACCACCAATTGAAAATCTATAGCGGTTTCAGCCTATCAAAGGCTATCTAGAAAATCAGCTGCGGGGGGCTGCGGTAGTAAGAGCAGTCGCTTCTGTCAGTAGCAGGCAGGAAACGTTTTTGAAATATAACCGCTGTCAAACAGTGAACAAAGAAATATGCTCTAGCATAATCTTAAAACAAGCGAACGCAGCAGGTAAGGGGTAGCGTATTTGCGCCTGCTCTTAGCCAGTCGGACTTCGTGTACTGTGCCGGGGTGCCGAACTGGGGGAAGTAGGCCAGTGGAACCTTTGAGGGTTTTGAGGTGTAGCGATAAAATTACACGTTCGACAATGAATGTTTCGTTAGCAGACAACCAGCTAGAAGAATCGACACTAAAGTGGGCAAATTGATAACTTTGCCTGGCGATAAAACGTATAGAGTTAATAGCACCTTTAGGCAGCTACACTGCTTTGTCATACGTTGTTTACGGGTGTTCTGCACAGAAGGCAATGAAAAAACGCGGCAGTATAGGTATTAATGTACCTGCTAAGAGAAATAACATTTAATTTTTTGACAATCCATTGTTTAACAATAATTAAGTCGTTTATCGGGGCAAGCCAATAAAGACGGCAGGTGAAGGCCCCCTACAGCCTCTCTAGAGAATTCTGTAGACAGCCGAAAAAGATAAAAATTATTTTCTTCTTTTTAGAAGATAAACTGTAACCATAATATAAAGCTATAAGCAAGGACCGTGTTTAAGAAAACATCTTTGTTTGGTAGCTAATCAGGTAGCCTTTCGGCGCTGGGCTTCCGGGGTAGGCTTGCTATAACAGTATTAACAATTCAACGCTACCACTGATAGTAGCATTGCAGAATCATGCACTCACGTACTGTGCCGTTCATTCGCCTGCTGAATAGTTCTTACTAGTTAGATATTCGAGCTAGTCGCTTTCTGGTAAGTCCGTTCTATACGCGGGCGTTCGATGCTTTTAATCCTGATACCCTTTAGCAGGTAATGTCCTTCGGCTTTTTTTGTTCCTGCTGGTGCGACGTACGCAGATGCCCCAGGACGAATGAAAGTAGATGCAGCAATGCTGCAATCACAAAGCTAACCTTCTATGGCGGCGGCGTCTGATCCTGTCGAATTTGTTGCTTGTTGTTCTCTATTGTTGTTACTGTCATTGTTATCGTTGTTGTATTCGCAATCGGCAAGAGCTCTAAGGACGCGAGAAAATTTTCAATCAGAATCAACCACGAAGAAGCAACCCGAACTCAACTCATTACTTAATAGGTTCAACAGGAACCCATACGGTTCGAGAACTTGATTTGCTCAACACAGTTCAACGATGTGCTACCAGAAGGAAAGTTGCGCACTTAAAGTTTGATAAAAAACAACTTGCATGATGTCTGGCAGCGACGTGGTGGTTGCAAAGTCGCCATCGACAATTTGTAGGAGTTTTATCGAGTCAGCTAATTCGAGTTGCAGCGAAGTAGGCGAAACTACAGACTACAGTTACAAAATCGATGAGCTCAATGCATAAGTCGCGTAGGTGTTGTTAATCTCGCTGCACAGCCTATCGAATATTCGTAGGCTGCCTTTTCTCCTTCTGTTTTTTCCGCTCAAGTTCGATATTGTTAACATCGATTATCTGATTCGTCCCTTATTAAAAAAAGTTTGAGAAAATTACGTCCTCTTCTCAAACTCGATCGCATCGCTTGTAACATTGAGTAACGATAGTTAGTGTAAACGATTTGAGTTTTACGTCCCGCAGTGCCGTTAGGCGTTTCAGCATGCGGTTGACCAGAGCAAGTATTCGCCACGCTAAACATTCTACTTGAATCTAATTTAATTTAACCTAATCTCTCTATATATATACCATCAACGAACAAACCTTGAGCTGTGTGTCTTCGTAGGACATCGACTCGACCGCGAATGGACATTTCGGATTATCAAAAGGAAAAATCTGCAAATTTCCCTGGCACACCAACGTCATGTGCCTGCGCATCGTGTACACTACGGTGCCGTTCGGGTATAGTCGCAGACTCATGTGCACAGGATTAAGAGGTGTCTTGAACTCCCCTGTTGAACAGAAAACGAAATGACAGAGGAACAGAGATGATCACGTAGCAAACATAATCGTTACCGTCGTGATCGCTAATCCTACCCTGCCACTCAGGCTCGGCCTACTTTTCAGCCTATTCCGCTCGACCAGTCAAGGTCTCGACGGAACGAGTCGGCAACGCAGAAACAATAAAACATAAGAGAACAGCTACGCAACAAATTTTCTCGCATTCATACAATTGTAAAGCTGTTTGCCTAGTGCTAGAAACGAGAGAGATTAAATATGGAGCTCGAACGTATCGCAGCTTAGTTCAGCAACGGACCGCGAAATGCTCATTAGATCTCGGTTAAAATATATGTATTTGTTAGTATTTGCACCTCAGTTACGCAATATAGTTTACAACTATAGTATTCGAGACAAAATAATAGTACGGGAAAAGATCTGCTGCGCCTAACGTATCGCCTGGATCATCGATGAACAAAGCTACAAGCTCCAGTATTTGCTATCAAGCTATGATAAAACCTGGCAAAATATGGCTATGTACCGAAGTCAGATTATAAATATACGTCTAAAATATAGAGGAGTATGATTTTTTTTTGGGTTTGCTCAAGCTAACGGCATGCTAAAGGGGACCATGATTAGATTGCTTATGCATTTGATTTTATCGGTATTATCTGCCAATAACTGTCCTAATCTTTGAAGTCTAAATGTCGTCAGTTTTAGATGGTTTTCAAGAGGCCTTATCTGTCAACGTGTCTATGATTTACGGCCATGTATTGTTTGTATAGGCACGCACTCTAATTATATGACAATATTTTGCTTATCGATGAAGGGCGTGAAAGCTTAGCAAACTTTTCAGTTCAATGAAGGTGTGATGCTGACCAGATTTGCTTTCGTACGTGTTCTGTTTCGATCTGAAGCTCGAAGATTTTCGGAAGAGACGCGCCTGTGAATTCTATTAGTTACAAACCCTTCTCCTCTAACGGCACTCGATGCATGAAATAACTGGGCAATCGCTGTTTAATAGTATTGGTTGTAGTGGCATATGAATTCACCATTCAGACCATTGCAGGGAATAATATAAGATTAGAGTCATAAATGTATGGTAAATAGTTAATGAAAACTAGAAATAATTCGTCTAACAAGTCAACTTCTATTGACGGATTGAGAAGTTGATGATTAGAAATTTAAAGGCCTAGACGTTAGACATTATATAATAGAGAACAATAAGTTAGAAGAAAGCATGAAGTCGCACATATTCCACTTCATATATATACAGAAAGATATAGCAACTGGAAGTAAGCCCATTATCTAAGCTTGACTTCATTATCAGGTTTGGAGTGAGCGTGCCAAGTAGATTCAACCATTCGGTCTTGTGTGAGCTACTCGTAAGGGAACGAAGTGAAACAAACTACTACTGTTACTGATTACTAAGCTTTTACTGTGTTACCAAAAACCTCAACCACACCATAAAAAAATCAGCCTTATTACATTATATATATATATATATATATATTCGTTTTGCGCGACCAATGACGACCATCCAACCTAACCTATTTATTAGTTCTGGCTAGCTTAACGTACTTCAGATAGAAATCTCTTTACCAGCTTATCCGTCTGTTATATATACGCCTATACGTACGTATAGAGCCACACAGACAAAGCATGCACTCCTCTAAAGAACGCTGTCAGAACTCTACTATGCACTATAATAGAGGATACTTAGTTCACCTATTTACTGCATACATTTTGACAGAGTGCAGTGACGTGATGCTACCCATCGCAACTATTGATGCTACTCGAATTGCCATAGCCGTGATAGCTACACGTCACTGATCGACAACGACGTATCGATCTAGCAAAAAGAAGAAAAAAAAACAGCCAACACAGTTCTGGTTTAAAAAGGATGATCTAAGAGAATCGAAAAGTGATGGCACACAGATGCAACGATGTCTACAATGACAGACAGATAGACAAACAGAGAGATATGCAGGACGGGAGGAACTCGCCTTGATCACAGTACTCGGTGCACTCCTCGTCGTCCTTCGTTTCGTCCTCCAGGCCTAAAGGAGGGATCGAATTGACCATCGATGAGAAACCACCAATGATTTCTACTAGCAGCAAATCTATGTCAACCATCGCGCCTATTAACGACAGATCTACATCGATGATAACAATGGATTGCGATAAAACACTGTCTCAATCACATGGAAATTCCTTGTGCGACGCTATCAAGAGCACGACCCTGATAACAATTACAAATCAACATAATATATAGCTAGAACCATAGTTAATCATTATTAAGACGTAAATATAAATTCACTTACGCTAGATACAACGACGACTTTCGTTTGCTAGGCAGATTTGATTGTTGCAATACTGTTTACTTAGAGCGTATTAGCTCTGCACAAGGTTTGCAAAGTCAAAAACCGTCTTTGATAGCCATTTGATCTGTTACTTATACTGCAAATAGGCTAGCGTCCCGTAAAGTCTGGCGAAAAAGCACAACAAGCATGCAAAAAAAGGTTGACGTTCCGCTGACATTAGAAAACCTGCCTTTAACCTTTCCTTTTGTCTCTAGTCAAGTGTGGCACCAATGCGATAGGTCAAACAACGATCTGGGATAGCTTCTATCTACATGGGCCTATAGCATGAAATTGGCGGACATACATACAAAAAAGTACGTAAATAATCGTACGGTAAGAGAGAGAGAGCAAAAAAAGTTTCACGGTTAAATTACTGCTTCAACAAAGACACACTGTCCATAATTTCGATTCGACTTTTAGGTTGATTAGGTACAGTTGTTTCTCATTTATAAGGTAAACGCTATCCGCATGCGACTTTGTCTTTGTAGAGCATTTAAAATAGAACTAACTGATCTTACACTTAGTATATCTTCAGTTGCTAGTAAGGCTAAGACGATGAAAGACAAATGTATTTATCGGATCATCATTCACAGAGCGACCATGAAACCAAATTTAAGTAATGTATAGCCTATACTGTGCTTAAGATATCAACATGGCCGCTTCACCTTCTTTCCCATCTGAACAATTGGCTTCGTAAAACCTGCGCATGACAAGGATGTTGTCTAAAAATGTTGTGCATCTAATAGATATTTACAGATTCGTGAGTTTACTACAAGGTCTCATTCAGAGAAGATCGTGATGAAACAACGTCAAACTCAGCATCGCGGTCAGCGATAACATTTTTGCACGTAAAATATATTGATTGTGTTATTGTTGCTCGATTTTCGCAGAGATGTTCAATTATGTACTATATTACATATATTATATACTCTAAGAGTGGTTAGTGTTATTTTTATTTCTTTTCACTTTGTGCTACGTTTCCCGCAGCCTCTAGCTAGCCCTCTCGATCGCTTCCCTAATATAACACATCCATCATTAGTGCGGTCGTTATCTGTTAAAATATATTAACCTTGTCTAATTCAGAAAATCTCAGATCCATGGTAGGTAACTGATGTAGCAAATATGGAAAAGTCGAGTTGCTCTGACGCGCGCACAATTCGACGAAGAGGAAGGTCCAGAGTATTGAGTTTTTATAACAAAATTGATCACCGTTTGCACATCACCTACGGACTCTGTTGTCTCTAACATCTGTTGAACGCAGATTCCTCAAATGTCCAAGTAAAGCCCGTGCAGCAGGTTCTCGACATGGATCTGGATTCACCTATAGGAGGCATGGATCGTCCTAAAAACAGCAATCTTTCATTGATATGCTAAATATCGAAGGAAATTGGCAACGCGTGTTACCCCTGTGAGCTTATATGCGACAACACCGTAAGTGGAACGGGCCGATTTGTAGAACTTTATTTATTGCGCGAGTCAGATCCGGATCTCCTGAACACACATACTAGTGCAAGTACCAAGAAGTGACGCTTCTGATAGAGGCTTCTTCACCAATGTTACTATCATCCTATAGCGTACGGTTCAAACAACAGCAGCAGTTTCATGAAAAAGGTGGTAAAATCCCTTTAGTCAGCGAAAGATAAAAGGGTCCTAGTAATCGCAGATCCAAGTGGGACTTTCTGGTAGCCTCGTATGTTTTAGAACCTGTTGCTGGCGGCAGGTGTTCTTGATTTTAGGGCCAATCACCTCATAAGGTCAACTGCTGAATAGCTGACGTTTCTTAGGCAGACCAGCGTTAGAATGAAAGGCCATCTGTTAAACCGAAAACCAGCTTCTTTGATTAGACAAGCACGATACGTATGAATTTTTTCTTTACGCATGGAAACAACTATTGAAACATCACACGCGAATAACTATATACCGACACTGAACAGTTTGTTCCGTGTCCGAATCGCGGGATATTCTATAGTGAATAGCTTCATCGAGAAGGAACGATGGACGTTCGGGCCGATCGACGAACAAAGCAATCGAACGCTTCAACATTCCAGTAGACTCAATCAGATAGCGATTTACTCAAAAATGTTCAATATATCTAGATAATATTAAAATTAACATACTTTTAGCGTAAGCACTGTACTAAAACGACTGAGACTCAGCTTACGGTGAGTAAATTGCATTCAGCTGCGATTGCAGCTTTATGGCTAAAAAAGGAACAAAGCAGTTACAAAGCATTGAGCTTAAACCTGGAGTTGACCTGAAAGGTGCTCATCTGTTGCCAATAGAGTGTCCGTTTGATAGCGTGATAAAATCCACTGCTGCGGGGTTTATAACGTAATAGGAGCATGAGAATTCCCATCTAGTAGGAACAAAGGACAAGTGTGTGCTTATGCAATATTCTAACGTAGTTTAGGTTTCACTACAATAGGACGGAAAGGGCCAGCCTTATAGATATAAATTGACACATATATATACATGCAAGGACACGACGTTATACTTAAATATTCTAGTCACAAGTCAGGTGAAAGGCTTCGCAGTTGGACTGTCGCGTAAATAACTAATGTCCTCATCATATACAAGTCGAAAATTTAGAAGTACTTCATTGTTATACTTGACGTTACGTGTAACAGAAAAAAACAGGATTAAACGCTAAAAGGTAGCCGATCTCATGCGAACAAAGTCGTGCTGTCTTACCATGCTTGATAAAGTAGATGTCCGGCTTCCAGATTTTTCCTTCGTGCAGAAGTCCATTTAGGTGAGAATGGTTGGCTCCAGTTTCGTGATAGGCCAACCTTTGATCCATCCACTTTTGAATTAGCAGGAACTCGATCTCGTACTTCTAAATTTCGTTCACCCGTAAACCACATGAAGTAAAGTTTTTTACGAATGATACTGATATAGAAAAATTCCAATCTGTTTTTTTCTTTTGCTTAATAGCTAACTTGAGTTCGACGAGTCTCTGCAAACTTGCTCCATAGTGATGACTGTCACAAGTGGGCCGTATCGTGACTTGGTTAACCACTGTACCTCAATTGCACCTAGAGTCTGCTAGAGTCAACTACAGAAAGACCCGTTTCCAAGTAGAATAAACAAGTATCTATTGGCTTGCACTTAATGGACTAGTGGAATAAATTATAATTTGAGTTCGTTATCGTTAGATGCAGGATTAAAACTTTTTCTTTTTTAGACAGATAGAAATAGAAATGACACCCGGAAAACTCGAACTTCCTTGAGAAGCCGCTTCGCCGTGCGAACGACGAAATTCTATTGGAGTGTTAACGAATCGACTGACTTCAGATCTGGGGTTTTTAAGCTTAAACTTTGTTCAACTGAAGGTTTCTCAGCTCTAACGATACATATATATCGTTCACTGAATATCTCACTCGCTACCAGCATGGTACGAATTTAACAGGAATTATTAGTATTCCCAGCCAAACGTGAATACTGCCATATAAGTACTGGATAGCAGTACGGTGGTTAGCATAGGTCATTAAACATTGTACACACATGATCATCCCTGCCTTCGTTTACTCACTTTCGATAAATCACACTTCGCCTCCATAGCATCTGCATATAGATAGACCGAAGCACTCAGCTTAACTAACTGGCCGTTATATCTTCGTCATATTATCTTTGGCAAAGAGAATTACTATTTGGATCCAGCAGTATGACGAGAAGTTGCATAGGTCTAAAGTTAGATCGGACATACAGGGGCTCTTGCCGCGGCCTTCACAACTGGGATCCTCATTTGGCTTTGATGACAATCTACACTTATATATGCAATATAGGTTTAGGGTGTGCTTTCTAATTATTTATGTGACTATATGTCTCACGGTATACGAAAAGATTGAAATCGAGCAAAAACTAATATGACCTGCTGTCTGCCTTCTTACACAGTTGCGTCGTAGTGACCAGGCCCTATACCCACGGTATGAGCAATGAGCAGTATATAAAGTACAGCATCTCCATCTGCGCAGAGCAACTTGAACGCTTGCTCGTCTGACGACTTGATGAGCGAGCCTGGGAAAGGGCCACCCGTGAGACCCCTCTCATCGGACAGACAATATGGGATGTACTGTATGCCAGGTAACTATTTTTAGGCCGAGGAGCAGGCGGGGAGCTCCCTGCACGCCAAAAGCTGAGCCAAAACGGCCAAGCTAGTGTGTAACGACGGCTCCCGTAGTTGCGGTGGCGTCAAACGCAGAGATAATTGTAGAGCGCGTAATCGCTGCGGTGTATACGATGTCGTCCCAAAAGCCAGAGGCAGCGGGAACAGTGAATGAGAGGAAGGGAATCCTTTCCAACACCAGCAGTGCATCATGAGTTCAGCTAGCGACAGCGCTAAAAGTCAAGGGGCGGAGCTCCACCAGAAGGGCGTGAATGCATACAGCCAGCGTAGAACGGACAAACGTTAAAAGTGTACCACATCCAGCCATCTATCCGTGCTCTTACGGCGCGCCTCGACAAGATCCCAGGCCCCGTTCGTCTTAGTCTCCTGCCTTATCCTTTGGTTTCTCACTTTAGTTTGTAACATTTTTTCGGTTGTGGGACACTGCTGCCTGACCGCGGTCTCTCACAGTTATTAGCTGGTACAGCAGCGCCAAGAATATTCGTTGTAGTCAGAAAGAGAATAATAGTGGATTGGGAGATTTTCTTCGCTTATGGCCTCCACCTGTTGCGATCGTGTTGCTGATCGTGCTGTGTTTACAGAAATTTAGTAATAATTATAATAACATTCTACGAACCCAGAAAGAGAAAAAGTAAATGATATCTGCTTGCGAACATGCGTCTAATCGTCGACAATGGTAGTTTCAGGCGCGTTATGAATTCTGGCTTTGTTTCTTCATATATTCGCTTTACAATGTATTATTGTAGTACTCTGTAGTGTATTGTTAAAAAGTTGCTGAGTGTTGTACTTAACGGGTTCAAAAAACAATGTCAGATCCGATTTTTTTTTTTTCGCTCTCATCAGAAAATCGGTGTGTATCGCAAGCCATTTTTACGTCGCGTTTAAGTAGAATTAAAAAATCATTGTAGTATCAGCGTTCGATGGCGTAAGTGGACAAGTGTGTTGATGCTCGAGTGCCAACTTACCAAACTAGATTCATCTGGAGATGACATGCTCAGCAACAGAACACTCACGTTTACTTTGGTTGTTTCTGAAACAGACGAAATACATGATTGTATTATAAGAGCCAATACGTCAGCAATGCGAAAAGACCGCTAACCACAGAGGAATCTTAAAATCATAATTTTTTTTTTTTCTTCAAACTATACATCTAGCCTGTGTTGTTACTTTGTCGCAACGTATGACAAGTATATAACAACTATTGCTTCACCATCTCTCTGTTTAGTAGTCAAAGAGATCGAGCCATTTTTTCATGTCATATTTCAAATCATACTCGTATCGATAAACAATTGATAAGTTTGAAAATACTTCATTAGAGCTAAACAGCCGCCAGTACGCATATAGACGAAATTCAACACAAATGACAGCAGAGAGAGATAACATTAAACCAAGACAAACAACGACACCGATCGGGACCAGTCATTTGCTTGTCCTACTTTTCATAATAAATATCAGAAGCGGCAAATGGGCACACTCTACTTGAATACGCCAGTCAGCCGTTTCTACAAAACGTAGTCGGCACCTGTCACGGAACAAGTTCAAACGAAGATTGCTTATTAAGGTTAAATATTAATTATTTTCGAAAATTAAAAAAGACGGTAGTGAACAGTATCAGTTTCTCTCCGACCCAGACTGTGCATTATATTTCGCAGGAAGGCCCGAAATCGCCAAAGGATCTGCGGAAAATTAGGTGCTGCCTGTATCTGTCGGCCCTTAGCAACGTATCGAAAACTGGTGGTATTCTACAACTGATTTCTCTGATAAATTCGGTTAATGACAAAGTACGCCGCCAAGACAGTACGTTTAGCTTCTACCACTTCTAGTACCAGTCTGTTGTTCCAAAAACTTCGACTTCGGTCTCTGTTAAAACGATTCCATGTGATCTCATCTTTTCCACAACACAATTTGTGGACCAAATTTGCTTCACCTTTAAATCACACTCAAGTGTCAATCTAAACCAGTAGGATCTTGGGTACTCGACATCTGCTGAGCTTCGTGTCGGCACAAACGTCGTACGCCTGAGTTTCCATATTGTCACAGCCCCGAAGTTGACAAGCAGCTTATTCACGTAAAGTAACGTAGGACGTTAGATTTGCTAGGGTATATTTGCTGAAATATTCATTACTATTACATAAGTTGCCACTACTCGTTGTAGTAAGTATCATAAAAGGAATTTAAAGATATCCTCTACCGTACTTTTGAGTCAGACCTATGGCAAAGGCATACTCGATTGTTACTATTGGATTAGGATGTTTTCGTAATCTAGATCAATTTTGTCCACTATTATTGTTGCTAATACCTAACTTATGCTGGTTATTATCAAACACTAATATATTAAAATGTATGAGCTTATTAAACATTACATTTTCCTTTTACTTGACAAGGGCTCTATTTTCCATGCGATTTCGTATTGCTCGCAACAGCTTTACCACTGTTCTTCATTAGTATTAAGAAAAATAAATTTTAAAAAAATCTTTGGTTGGACTGAATTGAAGAGCGATACAGCCATGGCCGACGAGGGCTTAAGAGAACACAAATTCTGCGATAGCTTCACTGAAAGATATTCAACCAAAGGACAGGAATCTGTAGGTAAGTTCCAGCAATCATTGTCCCTCAAGATTCCTCTATGACAAAGGTAATTAAATGAATACCGTAGCCATAGCGACAATACAAACATAGGAATTTTGCCCTTCCTGTAAACATGAGCTTACATCTCCTCAGGTGGCCCGGAAGCCGACGGCCCCTCACCACAGATGCGTCGAACAAAATTCAAATCTATATAAACGTGCAACAACGTCGAGTATATACAACGTGAATGAAAAGTCGGACCTATAAAACCGGAACACGATCGTTCTCATTCTCCAAATGTGGAGCAACGTTTGGTGGTACAGAGCAAGTGCTTACTGACTCCGTTGTCAACAAAACATTTGTTGTCGTATAGTTTTGTTCGCTGCCACCGCCTTTACAGTAGCTGCCGTACAACACTTTAGCAATATTTGTACTAGTATGTCCGAAGCTGCTGAAACAGATTCCATCATCTAAAAGCAGGTTGCCATAGCTCGCGGTTTTTATGCTCTCCGACTACGATCACGGATGTTTTCGCTTTCATCCCGCCATCATGTCGGTCTCTTAAGCTCAAATGAGACGCATATTGCTAAAAGGACAAGAGCTATACGTACATATTGGCAGGCAATAAGCAACCGATTGTCAAAAAGAACCTCGCCAGACTGAAGACAACGACAGGCGAGAGTCTGCTTGGTACTCCCGGCTGACCGAAAAGAACGCTGGGGGGAGGAATTTCTATTCCGTTTTCCAACTTCCGTCACCTTCATAATTAATTAAAGTATGAGAGTATACGACTGTATCCTCTTTACCAGTACGGCAAGATAGTTGGCAGCTATGCTTCTAGTTAAAACATATTAAATGTGAAATCCCCTGTAGGGAGGCAAAATATCTACCGAGACGAATTTGTCGTGCCGGGAACGCTCTGGACCAGTTGGTTTAGAACAAAAGGCTACACTCCACGACCATCGCTGACATGAAATCGGCACCATATCTACTGATTTGAAGTCTACAACTGATACGCGCTGCCCCTGTTGCGCCGACGTTGGCTAACGAATTCTTGATTTTGTATGCACGTACGTAGAAAAGCATACGCCTTACAAATTAGTTCGGTGACTCCTACAGTTATCCTACCAGCGTACTTTCTTTTTCTCTATCTAAAAGTAGCCGCAGTTCTTTGGCTGACAAACATACCCGCTTAATCTCAAACAGCTGAGGTTCGCTTAACTGGGTTTGGTGTTCGTAAATAAGGGTAAACGGGTAAAGAATTGTTTTGCTGCTTAAATCTAGCCGTTTTGTAGTAGTAGTGTCCTTGAAATAGCTCGAATCGCTTGCATAATAGTCTCTGTGGCCTTTTTGCCCTGTGAAGTTTTGTTGGCTGGCCTACAGCTCGTTCGCTTGATTCAATCGACGTTTCGGATATTGCATACGTTCAAGGGTGTAATTAATAGTGGTTTCGCGTCTCATCAATAGTTATATCGTCTGTTGATACAGAACTGTTTTAGTAGCCCAAAACGATATCCTGAAATTTCATTTCGTTCTAATCTACCACGAACAACAGCGGCAGCTTTTCTGCGAACATCACCGAGTACCTAGGCTACACCTCGACGCACGCTCGCGTTGAAGTACCACCCGTATCTGCCATTCAGTGATTTTCGATTCAGTTGTCTCTCGAAGAAATTCAATGGGGCTTTGCCATCATATATTTCAATATTGCGGTTATCTTTGTAGTGTAAACAAGCCCCAAAATCACCTCGTCGGTATAGCATCGCATGGTTTTCCCTTACTAGAAGATCTAGCCGTGATAGGTATTGCGCGACTCGTTATCTGGGGTTTTCCCCAACAGCTCTATGAAACGGACAGGTGACCACTTGCGATGGTACCATTTACCAACGCTGGAACCAAAACCTAAACTTAACCTGCCTTGGCTGGCATTAGTTGAAAAATGTATGCACTGTATGCCACCAACATATAAAGGCTGACAACTTTCTCTAAAAAAACATTTCTAATTTGATAAATCTAGAAAGAATTGATTCTGGAAAAAAATTAAACTGCAAAACAATTGTCTTACACCGTGGCTACAGTTTAATTGGACGATTTTGACTTGCGTCCTCATGGTATATATATATACCATGAGGACGCATATATATAGATTGATTGGAAAGCGGCCACTTGTTTATAGGACAAATACAAGTAAGTACAAACACCGTGTGTAATACATAGGAGTGTAAAGGATATGCATAGACGACCCTTTATTGAAAGTGATGTTCCGGTATCTCGCTTTTTTGGTCCTTTCCTATGTAGGCCTCAATTCGTGTCGCTTCTCCACAGACGAGGCATGACGTAATAGGCCTATCCACCGATCTAGCAGTCTATACAGAAAGAATATTTACTCCAAACGGCAGTGCTTTTCACACACTCAGGCCAGGTACTATAAGCCCATTTGAGTGGGCGTGCCTTATAGTGGCGTGAGCACAGCTGGCTTGAAAAAATCAGCCAGATGAACCAGATTGCGCTCAGAGCAATGCTGTTGACATTGTACGTTATAGGTAAATGAAAACCAGTTTATCAAAGAGCAGCGATTATAGCTAACAGGATCCAGTACTACTATACTGAATTGCGTACTAGGTAAATGGAAGAATCTAACACTTACAACTGTACCAGGTTGTACGGAGCAAATCGACAACGAGTTTCTTTCGAATTTATAAGAAACAAGTTAAAAAAAATTACTTCTGTTAGAATCAGGGTAATAACTTCTGATAGGTCCATAGCATTAATGTCTCTTTGTGCTATGGTGTGCATCAGTCAGTTAAGCTAGCACGATTTAATTAACGAATGATGATCCCTCCAGTAAACTTGCGTCATTCTCATTGCTAAAGTGCACCATAAAGGGTTATAGGTACAAAAAATTTAAATGTACGTCTGTCAAATTGTGCATAATCAAGTAGCAATTCCCTGTCGTTATCACTACCAGCTTATGTATAAGTAGCTGATCATAATCAGTATTCCCCCATTAGCCAATCAGATGATGTAGTGGCCTTAAGCAATGCGCCTTGATAACTACAATTTTTCGAAACTCCAAAACACTTTTTCCAGGTTTAACGCTGAAATTTCTATTTGAAAAAACACGACCCTTTACTGGCTAATGATGGCTCATAACTTGCATAGAATACAATTTATCGTATAAAACTTGAGAAAACTATTTCGAGCTTCTTCACCTCACCATCTTTTCAAAATCAAAATTGACGATTCAACTTCAAAATGCAAACTAACACTCATTGCCGTAAATCGCTAAAAAAAAAAAGCTCTCACTCTATTTCCTCGAACGGTTACGTAAAGCTGGCACCAGTATTTCTATAGGGTCTATGTATCGTTATGTGCATTGTTGCTTCTATACCAATCGAAAACCAGTCGATGATAAGTTTTGCAAATGACTTATTGAAGGTCTTATGATTGAAAATATCGTTG